GCAAGATAAAGAATTCTTAACAATCTTGTGAGACTTGCTTTGCTTAGAATGCTTTTAGTTAAATGACAAAGGCCTGAGCAGAAAGTGAGTTTATGTTCCCAAAGTTCTGCAGCCTTTTATCTGACAGACCCTGTCTTAGGCGAAGCCCTAATGGTTCTTTGTATACTATCTACTGTTTACTGCCTGACAGTGATTAATAAGTTGTACCTGAACTCCTGTGCAAAAAAAACAATAAAAGCCTGTCTAAGCATCGGTCAGGGCGCTCTCTCTCTCTCCTTGAGAGACAGTTGCCAGGCTGCTCCAACCCTCTCTCTCCTTGAGAGGGTGGCCAGGCCATTTGGAGGCTCTCCCCCCTTGAGAGAGTAGCTGTGCTGGCCCTTTTCTTCCACAGGACTTGGTAGTCCATGTAAATTTGTCTCATGTCTCATCCAAGACCCGCGGGCACTGCTGGTCAGTGCGCACATCAAACATGAGTGTGAGAGAAGCATAGGTTGCTTCTTGCGCACCCCCAAGAGGGGACCTGGCCCACAACCCAGGCATGTGCCCTGACTGGAAATTGAACAGGTGACCCCTTGGTTTGCAGGCCAGTGCTCAATCCACTGAGCCACACCAGCCAGGGCACTGAGCCTAGTTTTTCATTCCTAGCCTTACCCAGGGCTCATGGCATTGTTTTCTTGAACCACTGACAATGAGAAACTAACACTTTGTATTTTGTAATGAAAATTTAATTTATATTTTTAAAAAAGTAAATCATACTACATCAGAAAGCTCTCCCACCAATTGAAGGCATTTGATGTTATATCTCTGCCCACACACCCAATCATTCTTAGGTCTTGCTATTAATTCTTGTAATAGGCTGGGGTGAAATCTCAAGTATCAAATTGAAGCAGTCTTTAGACAATTTTATTTTTATTTCAGTCATCTCCCAAATAATATTTTTCATAGACTTTCTTTTCTGTGCCACTGCTTTTGGCCCTGAGTCCTATCCATATTATTTTAAGTATTAGTGAGATGAAATTTCCATGCAGTGAAACACACACATCTGAAGTATATAATTGTACATGTGCCTAGTACATGAAGCAAAAACCAACAGAATTAAAGTGAAAACTGGAGTATTTCAGTCACAGTGGCAACTATAACACTCTTCTCATAATATTTGATATGATAATTAGACAAAGATGATTAAAAGAAAGATCTGAACAACAATGTCAATCTTCTTGATCTAATCATTACCAATGATCAACCTTCTTAGTAAATCTTGCTAAATCTTCTTGGTATTTATTAATCATTATAGACAATAACAGCATCATTTCAAGTGCATATGGAATGTTTACCAATATAGGCTGTATACCAAGCCATAAAACTTCAAAAGACTGAAATCTTAGAGCATGCCACTTGAATACAGTATAATTAAATTCAGAATCAACAAAAGAAGATATCTGGAAAACCACCAAGTATCAGAAGTTAAACAACACATTTCTAAATAACACATATATTAAAGAGGAAATCATAAAGAAAATAAAAATATTTTAACTGATAACATATAAACTCTTTGAACGTAACTAAGGCAGTGCTTAGGAGGAAATTTATAGTTTTAAGTACTTAATTTGGAGAGAAGAAAGGTCATTTTAAAGTATTTTCACCTAAATAAACTAAAAAATCAATTAGATGGAAAGGACAAACAATAAGTAAAAGAAAAATTGATGAAATCAAAGCTAATCTTTGAAAGGTTTGGTAAAATTGGCAAATCTCTAGCTGGTTGATGAATAAAAATGAGAGAAAACACAAATTATCAGCATCAGGAAGAAATAGGAGATATCATACAAGTGTCACAGGTTTTAAAAGAATAGTGAAGGTAGATTATGACCAAATTTATGGCAATAAATTCAACAAATAAGATGGACAAATTCCTTGAAAAATACAATACACCAAAATAGACATGAGAATAAATAATCTGACTAATCCTATGTGTATTACAGAAATTTAATCCATAACATACTTTTCCACAAAATGAAAGGGTAATAAATTGGATTCCATTAGAATTTTTAAATTTTACTCATCAAAAACTCAATGAAAAGACAAGTCTGACTATAAAATGTTCAAAAATATGGAAATATAACAAAAGACATAAATAATAAATTTTATTATTTAAATAAAGAATAATAAAGAAGCTCTGGCTGGTGTAGCTCAGTGGATTGAGCATGGGCCTGTGAACCAAAAGATCACGGTTCAATTCCCCGTCGGGGCACATGCCTGGGTTGCAGGCCAGTTCCCAGCAGGGGCCAGTTCCCAGCAGGGGATGCACCAGAAGCAACCATACATTGATATTCCTCTCCTTCTCTCCTTCCCTTCCCTTCTAAAGATAAATAAATAAATAATTAATTAAAAAATAATAAAGAATTTCTACAAATAATTTCCACATACCTTCCATGTTATCTTAAATAAGTCCTTCATTGTTCTGAATTTCAGTTTCCCAATAAGACTAATAATTCAATCTCTTTCATAGGCTATTGTGAGAAATAAGTGAGTTTGAGTTAATTATACAAAGCTTTTAGCACAGTCTGGAATATAATAGCGGCTCCATGAATGTTAGCTAATATTGTTATAGCCATCATAACTGTAACTGAAAGGGATTTGGAAAATCTGGGAGGGATGGCCACCGAGTTCTGGGACCAGGGTCCCAGCTACCAGCATGCCGCAGTGAGGCTCCCTGTGCATGGGGTGCAGTGGTGCATGCCCGAGACTCCTAGAACACAGCACGGGTTGCTTGCAAGTGTCCTTAAAGAAGCCTTATCTAGATATTCAGAATTTGTTAAATTTTCTCAACAAGGAAAACCTGATGTGAAGGTTTCTAGGAGCTCGATCCTGGAAATCTCTTTCCCTCTCTACTCTCTGAAGTCTGTATTTTCTTCTCTAATCCTACTGAAACTGTCATCTCTTGTTTGGACCATAAACTTGGTCTGTTAACTGGTTCCTTCTAATCTCTGTGTGCTTCACAATGATCTTTTAAAATGTAGAATGAATCAATGACTTTTTAATGTTCTACTTGCTTTGTGGAAGAAATTTGGTCATAGGCACTGAGACCATGAAACTATTCTTTTCCTAAGAATCAATCTGCTGTGGATTGCATGTTTATTTCCTGCTCCCCCTCTTCATATGTTGGAACCTAAATTTCCAATGTGATGATGTTTGGAGTTGAGACTCAAGAGGTGATTACATCTACTGCTTAAACTGTCTGCCTTCTGGCAAAAGTAAATCCACTTGAAGGAATCCACACTTATCCAGGGCATCAAATTATCTCTCCAAATTTTATATACACAGTGTCTGGAATTAAAAAAATTACTAGACAAACAAAAAAATAAAAATTTACTCAAAATTAAGAGGCAATAGAAATGGACCTATAGAAAAATATGGATATTGGAGCTATCAGATATGGACTTTAAAATAACTGTGATAGATAATAAGATGGAGACTTGAAACTTAAAAAGAACAAGATTCACATTTTAGAACCAAAAATATAATAATTAAAATTGAGAATTTATTTCTGAGTTTCACAGCAGATTAAACACAACTGAATGAAAACTTAGTAAACTGGAAATCAGGTCAAAAGGAAGTATACAAACTGAAGCACAGTGAAATAAAATTGTAGAAAATGTAAGTGTGTAAGAGACACAGAGGTCACATGAAAAGCTGTAGGACAGTATTTATACATGATCTCAATATGTCAAATGATACATAGGGATAAACCGTGTACAAAGATATTAAGAATAATTAACTCAGAGGGGTGATATTTGAGATATACTTTGTCACTTCATATTTTTATTTCCCCCCTCAAATCCATTCATGCATGACATAGCACTTCTCAAATAACTTTTTTTAAAAAATATTATTTTCTTTCATTAATTACTGTTCAAGGAATAAAGGGTTCTGTGTTCCAAAAAGTTTTGATAAATATTGTGTAAAACAGAATTAGCATAGGTATTTTTCTTGTTTCTAATTGTTCATTTATCTATTTTCTTATTACCCTTGGACTTCTCTGAGTCTTTAATATACTATTGTTTACTGTGAAGCATGAAGAGACCAGTGTTTCTGGACAAGGAATGTTTTCATCACAGAATGTTTCATAAAACTGGAATTTGTAACAGTTGTTGGAAAATAATTGTCTAGAGGAGGAAACCTACCCTCTTTAACACAGTGTGCCAGACCCTACCTGTCACATCCACGCTCCCCTGCCTGGGTCTGTGTCCCAGCCATCCCGCTCATTTTACAGTATCTCCAGGGCTCTTAGCTTTCAACATCTATCTCCTCTGTCTGAAATCCTCCCCCACCCCACCTCCGCTCTCTGCCCTTTTCTCCAGTTATCAAAATTGTACTCATTGTTCCAACACTCAGCAGAAATATGGACTCATCTGTAAAGCCAGGCCAACCACCCCACCAATCCTTCAGACTGCTTCCAGCAGCATGCTTAGTACCTTAGGTATCCTTATCTTAGTACCTGTCTCTCACCCACTACACTGGGACGTGGGTTACCCATGCCTGCACCCACAGGACCTAGCATTAGGCCTGCCATTACAGCAAGAATCAGTGAACATTTGCCATTGGTGATCGCTTATAATGGTACCATTATAAGATGGTAATGAACCTTTCTCAAGATTCAGACACAGGGCATACCCCAAAAACCATTCCTGGTGTCTCAATAAAAGACTTTAATGGCTCTTTTTCTGTTAACTACTAAGTTGAACAAAACATTTCCCTTCTTTATTAACTACAAAGATTCTAGAACAAAAGGGAACTGGAAGACTGATGTTCCTAGAAGACATTTCATGGTATTCATCTGTCAGCTATATCATGGGCTGTCTCCTAAGGGCCAGTGTAGTGTCGAGATTGGGGCAGAGGGGGGCATGTGTACTTGTGCTACTGAGTTATGTGAATGAGTGTTGGTGCATTGACTGTGCATTATGAGTCTTGTTTCTCTGTCCCCCAGCTATCCTCTCAGGGCCTCATTCTGGGGCTCTGCCCCAGCCTGTCACCTTGAGGAATGCCTGCTTCACATCTTTATTTCGGAGGCTATAGATAATGGGATTGAGGAAAGCAGAGATGACATTGTAGAACAGGGCCAACTTTTTGTCTTCCTCTGGTGAGGACTCAGAGCCAGGCTTCATGTACATGACCATGGCTGGCACACAGAACATGGTGACCACAGTGATATGGGAGGCACAGGTGGAGAAGGCTTTCAGCCGCCCCTGGGCTGAACGGATTCTCAAGATGGCAACAAATATGTTTACGTAAACGACAAGGATAAGGAAAAGTGGAACCAGGATGACACTAAAGCCGAGAATGAAGTCTACTCGATCATTGACTGAGGTGTCTGCACAAGCCAGTTTTAAGATTGCTGGAACTTCACAGAAGAAGTGGTTGATCTTGTTGGGGCCACAGTAGGGCAGACGCATGGCAAACACAGTGTAGACAAGAGCAGAGATGACACCCCAGAGTCCACAGAAAATGACCATTACCCCACACAACAGTGGGCTCATGATGACCTTGTACCTAAGTGGGTGGCAAATGGCCACGTACCTGTCTATAGACATGATGGCAAAAAGCCAAGACTCAGTGATGCCTAGCACCAAGAAAATGTACATTTGGGCCACACAGCTGGCAAAAGAGATGGTCTTCGTCTGGCTGGCCATATGTGCCAACATCTGGGGCACAGTTGTAGTGGTGTAGCCCAGATCCAACAGAGAGAGAATGCCAATAAAGAAGTACATGGGTGTGTGGAGGTGAGAATCCAGGCAGATGAGGATAGTGATCATGCTGTTGCCCAGAATAATCAACAGGTAGATCATCAGGAAGGTTGAGAAGATCAGAGGCATGGTCCTGGGACCGAAGGAGAAGCCCAGAAGGATGAATTCAGTCACATAGGACTGGTTAGGCTCTTGCATTGCGTTCCACTTCTAAATGAAAAGGAAAGACACCAATTCTGACAGAGGACTAGCTAAACTATGCAACAGAGTGAGGGTTACTAATGGGGTTGTGGTGGTGGTCAGTGTTCAGTTATCATGAAACGCCATGCTCCCCCCCAACACAACAGCCCATTGCACCTGCTCTTGTGTACTGCCACCACTTCCAGGAACTTTATGAGGAGGAAGGAGCTTTCACATGTGGTCCAGGCTCTGCCTCTGACCCACTAGTAATCCCCCATCTCAGCCTCAGTTTCCTCAGCTGTGAAATAAAAGCACTGGGCTAGCTGATCTCTACTTTTCCTTGGCATCCTCTTCTCCTGAGTCAGATCACCAAGTGTTTACAGATAAATATTGGTGTACATACTCTATGAACTTTAGCAAATTTTAGTGAGAGAAGCTCCTTCTTCCTGTTGAAGACATCAATTTATGTTTCCACTCTAATTTTATTCTCAGTGTGCCCCAGCTCAGGACAGCTCTCTGACCACCCACCCACCCCATCACAGGTCATGGTATGTTAGAAGGAATGCTGAGTTCTGAATCTTGGCTCTATAATTGACTGAGTAAATGACCCTGAACGAGCCCTTTACCTGGCCGTCTAACCCTTGGAGCCTACTTTCTCAAGTACAAAATGAGAATAATTGTCACTTTGTTACAAGTTTGCTGCAAAGATTGGGTAATGTTTGGGCATGAAAAGCATCGCACAGAAGGTCTAACATGTGGTAGATGCCTAATAAATGTTAATTGCATTTCTGGGTAGTTCTCCATCCACAGGACTGAGATTCCGGCCCAAAGTATGCCAGTTAAGATCCTGGGAAATACCACATCCTATATGATGCTCACAGTTTTCATTCTCCCAGATGCCCACATTCTGTTGCTCCTCACAGCATTTCATTTACTCTTTTAACTTCCTACTGATCCTTGGCTCTTTCTCAATTAAAGCTCCCCAAGCCATTTTGCTTCCTGAAAAATACGGAGAGGACAGCCTTACTGGAGAGATGTCATGTACATCATCGGTACTTAGGGAATGAGAGTGATTTTGATCCTGTCAGCATTACTTCTCCACCTGGCACCAATTTTCCTGACCCAACCTATTTGTTCTGCAGTCTGCTTGTTCTCCTTTGGAACAGCATGAATGAGTCTTCACAAGAACCCGTGCCTATATTTATTTATCATTTTTTAATCCTCACACGAGGATATATTGATTGATTTGAGAGAGAGAGAGAGAAACATTGATGTGAAAAACATCAACCGGTTGCCTCCCATACATGCCCTGAACTGAGGATCAAACATGCATCCTAGGTCTGTGCCCTGACTGGAAACTGAACCCATGACCTTTTGGTGCATGGGATGATGCTCTAAGCAAGTGAGCCATTTGTCCAGGGCAAACACGTGTTTGCATTTAATACATCAGATACTTTCTTGACTTTGGCCAAAGGACTAAACATACTTTGAACCTCCTCTATGCCAAGTATTTTTCTAGGACCTTCTTAGAGATTACCCCACAGTTTTCAGTTAGCTGGCAGATAACTGTTTTTATTAAATTCCTAGTTTTCACCAAGGGTCTTTGTAGGTTGCATTGTCTCCCTAGGCTGGCCTTTATTTCTGCATGAAGCACAGTGGTGTTTGGGCCAGGTGGTCTCAAAGGGAAAGGAAGCATGGAAGGGCATGGGGTTTGGAGACAGTGGGTTCTGCTGGAGTCCTGGCTCTGGTTTCACCTGCTATGTCACCTTGTGCTATTAGCACACTTTTTAGACTTCAGTTTCTTCACCCATAGAACAGAAATACAATCACCTACTTTGCAAGCCACATTCTTCTTGAGAAGAATAATTTCAAAGATGTGAGAATCTTCTACCTGGGGGCCAAGAGTCAGAAAACATGCTGCCACTTCTAACTTTTCATTTTTTTACATGCAGCCAATGAATGGGCTTGCTCTTTAAGAGTCTGTTGTTAATGGATATTTAACCTGACTGAACCACATGCAAAAGCTGAAGGCAGGTTGAACAAACTCTCTATAAAGCAGCAACATGTGCCCAAGGATACTGTTCTGCAGTCAAGGCCTCTGGTGAAAAACTTGGGCTCCCCGAAGCCCTGGGTCCCCATGATTCTTCCACCAATACTCCTGTGAGTAAAATACTCTTCACTGGGGGAAAAAATTGCCTGTCTCTCAGGGCTAGGAACCAGAGAGACCCCATGTGAGGGAAAACAAAGGGCGACCTCACTACCCACCATGATGAGCCTGGCCTCTGTGTCTCCATTTGGGCCAAAAACATGGAAATCGACTTTTGGCCTGTACCCTACAACATACCTTGACATTCATTCTCCCTTTGAGTCTTATAAGGACTTTATGAGAAATATAGGGTGGGGAACATTGTGTCCATCTCACAGATGGAGAACCTGAGGCTCAGGGAATATGTGGGAGAAATCGAATCTCACTCATTCTGCAGCTGCAGTAAGGTTTCCCATGAGCAGCCAAACCATAGTTTACCAAAACTCTGCCAATCTGAATCCGCAATTTAATGAAATGTTTTCTGGCCTTTTGATTCTCAAAAGGGAAAGGGAAATCATGAGGGCAAAGAATTGGGTTGACAGAAATTGATGGCATCTCTAAGATCAAGGCAGTCATGCCAGTCAGAAACTTGGGAAAATCTCCTCATGTCCTTTCTCATTCCCCTACATCCTATCTGCCTCCAGGTTCCATTGCCACCACCCCCAAAGTGCCCCTCACACCCCTTCTATCCCCCTCCAATTCCATTGTCACTGTCTAGTTCAGACACTAGTATCTCTTTCTCACTTGGATTTCATCTCAGTCCTCCAGCTGGATCTTTGCTCAGCCCATTTATGCACCGGTTTGCAGGGCACCACCCTTTCTAGAACAAAAATTTGATGGGGCCACTTCTTCAATCCTGCAATGTCTCCCTTACCTAAAGGGAAAAGTCTACGAGAGTTAGACCAATACCCTGGCTTTGCTCTTTAAAGCCAGACCCAGTTTTGGTCATCAGATTCCAGGGCAGGTCAGACACTCTAGAGAAATCTTCGGCTGCTGCAAGGGCTGACACAGAAAGCATTATAGTGACCCAAGGTGCACATGCAGAGAGGAGACGTAGGAAGAAGACAGATCCCAGGTCACCATGGGAGTTCATCCCAGAGTTGAGACTGGGACCCAGACTCTAGGCTACCAGCTGGTCAGCTCCTTGGACTCTGTCTTAGCTCAAGTCAGCAGGCCCACATTAACTTGCAAATTCTACAGGTCTAACACATCCCCACTGAGCAGCTTGGCTTCAGCATACATAATTTTACTGTTTCCCATTACTTAATACAGAGCCTGGCACATAGTAAGATCCAATAAATGCTTACCGAATGAGCTACAGACCAGGAGGAAGGAGAAAGGAGAAAGAAAAGAGTATAGACATTGTCTGTCTCCCTACACTTTTCCTTCCTGTTCCTCAAATATCTGGAGAAAATTATGTGTGTCTGGAGGTCATGAAGCCCCAGGAGAAATCAGGACACAAGTTGATTGAGGGAGGAGGATTCAGAGAGTTGGCACCAAGTATTGTGAATCTCTCCAGCATTTCTTTCCACTCCTATCCAAGCTGATAAGCAATAACATAAAATATTATTTTCAATAATATGGTAATTCAACCATTTCATAATAATTTTGTATAACTCTAATATAATTACTTTACTAATTTATTATATTGTTGTAACAGCTTACTCTGTGCCAAGAACAATGACATGTGCTTCACATGCATTATTTTATTTTACCCACAGAACTGGGGTAATAGTTGAAAGACTGAACAATAATTGTGCGCACCTTCCAATCAGAGCACCCGTCAGAGGAGACAGGGGCAGCTGTACCAGAACAGACTGAACATGAACCCTGTGCAGAGCCACCATGAGGTGGGCATTACTGCTGTACCCATTTTACAGATAAGGAAAGTGGTGACACAACCTGCCCAGGGACACGCCCACAGCCACTGCAGAGCCTGTGCTCATAACCACCAGGTGACACTGAGCATCCATGACAAGAATGTGGTTGGACTGACCTGCCTGAAAACAGGTCCTCCTTCTTCCCCCACCACTTACTTGCTCACTTGCTCTCTCATTTCCTGCCTTCTCCAGGGTAGAATCTGAAATGAAAGAGTAGGAGAAGAAGAAGCAGAAATCACGGCCAAAATACAATGTGAATGAAGCTGAGGCAGGCAACTGACCAGGCCAGGCAGGTGCAAGGGGGTGGTGATGCCAGGCTGCTGGTGCCCACTCTGTGCACAGACACAGCCATATGCTGACCCTCCCTGAGACCTCATGTTCCCCCCTGCCCTCTGCACTATGGCCTCCTTCTTCCCTGCAAGCTGCATGAGGGGAGTGTCAGAGGCCAGGCGGGTGCTGCCAGAGCTGGCCCTTCCCCATGTCCTCCTCCTGCCTTGTCCCGCAGCCCCTGGAACCCTCAGTGCTGCCCATGAAGAGAAGAGAGCCCTGGATCTGGATATGAGGGGACCCAGGGGTACCCTCCTCGGAGGGCCAGGGGTCTGCTGAGCTGGGGGGACAAAAGTCAGAAAAACCTGGGGATTCTGGAGATCCTGGGAGAGGAAGACAGAGCAGGTATATTGGGGGTCTGAGGTGGCAGGTCCCCATCTGTGGGCAGCAAAGATGTACGAGAATACAGACCAGAGACACAGACTGGGCAGAATAAAGCCACAGCAACAAAAAATCAACATACGCAGATGGGCAGACGAGGAGACGCAGAGGACCAGAGAGGCAGGAAACAGTGCCACTAGCCTGGAAAGGAATAAAAACTGAAGACAGAATCCGAGGGTCAGAGAGGAGCCTGGAGCCTGGCCCCAGGGAGCAGGTGTTGGCCCTCAGGGGTCCTTGGTGGGTGGGCTGGGGCAGCTGCCACCTCCGCTCACGCACTCCTGCCAGAGCACACTTTACATGGATGCCTGAAAGTGCAAGTCCCCTAAGCTCCGCAGGCAGAGGCT